GCCGACGTTGGAATCTCTGTAGACTCCGAGTTGGCCCGTTTGCGTGCCCTGTGTTGCTGCTCTCTCGCAGCCAATTGACGCATCGCCTCTTCCTTGAACTGTTCCTCCTTTCTTTGCGCCTCTCGTGCTGCCCGTTCGGCGTCTTCAGCTTCTCGTGCTTTCCGTGCCTGCAGTGTGTCGTGAGTAGTGGCCTCGTCAATGAAAAAACTCCTCACACCTGTTCCTCGTCCTTTGCTCTCTGAGTCATTTGCACCGCCAACGACCCTCGCACCTCTGTCGGCGGACGGACGTTCTTCTCCATCCACCCCTCGCAGAAATCGACAATCTAGGGTGCGCTTCAGCAACAGCCGATTCAATAAACCTTGCAGCATACCTGGAACACGATTTCAGCACCCTTGTTCCGCTGCGCTTCAGCGGTGATTCCATGCGAGAGTGTCGTAATTTGGTCATTATTCAAGCCTTCTATCGGCCTCTGTATCGTGAAAATAGGGCACGCTAGGTTTGGGTACGTCTTGGGTAATCTGGAAGCATGCGTTCGGCGCAAGGCCAGGATGTGCGAGAAACGTGCGACTCACTTCACGTTTAGGTGAAATGTGATCCTATCATTAACCGGGTGAACTACCCGGATGGTGTATTCAGTCAAACGGGCTGCACCCTACATGAATGAATGTGAGTTTCGGTCAAATCAGAACAGTGAAAAAAACAGACCTTCCATGCCTTTGGCGGCGGTGTTTCAATAAAATTGTCTTCGTAAATGGATTTGAGTGCGGTTATCTCTAGTTCCTGTCGTTCGTGATTGTTGAAGTCCATGTGGGCCTGGCTGAGGCCCGTTCATGCAGATATAGTGAGAATGCTTGGGTTCGACGGCCGGTTGAAATTCGGTCAGGTAGCCAGGATATAAAGAACAAAGCGGGTTGAGAAGGGGAGGGCCCTTTGGACCTCGGCAGCTCAAGCCTCCATGGCTCGTCGTCGAGATGAATAATTGGTTGAGATGGTGGTGGTTAAAGATGAAAGGGAACAAGCGTATTTCACATCAGAACGTGGCCTAACCTTAACCCTGGATTGAGGTTCACTTTGGGCGTTCAGCTCGCATACATAGAAATTTGCAGGCAACGTGTGTGTCGTGGCATGTACAGGGTTGCGGGTTATCGTACTTATTTACAGGTGCGCACTTTGCAGACGAGCACGACTCAAACACCCAACAAATCGTGACAGGCGAAAGGAGGCACAAATACACAGGCTTGTTCTCCAGCGGAATGACCTGGAATGACTCCACGTCACCAGTGGCACTCAGAGTGACTCACGGAGAAAGCTCCAGAAAGCTTTAGCTGCCATGCACACCACGTAGGTGTCACGCGCTGCAAAAAAAAATTTGCGGAAACGTTCCGGAAACGATGCCCCATGAGTCATTGCAGGCCAGAACTAATCCGATAAGGAGTAGAAATGTCCCAAATCTACTAGTACTAGTGCAGCAAGATTTCAGTCGCCACCAGAAAAGGCGAAACATTAGAACCATGGTGTCGGTCCGCCATTGACAAACATGCAGCAGAGTCAAGATTCCGACTGAGAAGCTGGGTTGCGGCCAGTTTCCACATTGTACATTTCGACAACAAGGCTCCCTGTCGCATGCTGGTGTCATAGAGATTAATTGGCCAGCAGTGGTTCCACCCTGAAATCGTGGCTGGAGGTTCTTCCGACGAGGCGTCCAAAGGTGCCAAAACCTCAAGGCGAAGATCCACAGCACTGTATGAGAACCGACTGGCAGGGCCCAATCGGCGAGTCGAGACGGTTGGCCGGAGGCAGAGGAGGTCCACATTGGCCGCTCAAGCAGAACAGTCAAAGAACAAGAGGGCGAACTTAGAGTTTGGAGACCCAGTGCACGCCAGACAATCAGTCTTCTGTTAGGACGCCCACTGAAGATCTGAAGCTTGAAGGCCACGGTCGCCAAGTTCGATTGTCTAACGTTACGATCGGTTCAGGACGTGCGGTCGGCTACGGTCGGGGACAGAGTCAGCCAGGCCTTGCATGCGCACGCAATCTCGATTCTCAGGTTCGTCGCTCAACCGTACGACATGGCGGTTGAAACGCTTCGGTCTGATGGTACTCTGAGGATTGAAACTAGTCAGCACCACTGCGGGCCAATTGGAACTTACGCGCTCGTCGAGGAGGTAGCGGACCGCCGCTCTACAGGGTTACGACTGATGGTGGTCCTAAACAGAGCTTTAACTTGGTCCTTCACAATGAACTCAATTGGATTCGAGAACTAATGGCGTCACGTGTCGTCAACGCTCACCAATATCGCGTATCAATCGCGTATCCTGAATCGGAATCCTGATTCCTCAGCCTGAGCCTCGCTAGTCCACTGCCCCAACGCTTCTTCCTGACCTCCCTCTGTCTTATCATTGTGATTTTAAGCCTCGAAACATGCCTACAATCACCCCCGGCGACAAAGTTCTCGTGTCTGGAGCCAATGGCTTCATCGCGACGTGGGTTGTTCGCAAATTCCTCGAGAAAGGCTACGCGGTTCGCGGCACTGTGCGGTCCGCAGATAAGAGCAAATTTCTTCAGGACTCTTTCAAGTCATATGGCGACAAGTTCGAGGTAGTTGTCGTGGAGGATATCACCAAGGCGCGCACTCGTACCGCTCATTGATGCTCTCGCACTAATGACGCGTTTTTTTTCATCAGGAAGGAGCATTCGATGAGGCGGTCAAAGGCGTGAACGCTATTGCACACACTGCGTCTCCCTTCTACTTGAATGCTGCATCGCTCGATGGTGAGTCAGATATAGCACTGAGAACATGCCCGCTCAACGGATCTTAGAATTGATCGGACCCGCCGTCAATGGTACCGTCAGCATCCTGAAGAGCGCCGCGAAAAATGGGTGCGTTCAATGTGCTTTGCTTTTTGGCTGAGATTCTCAAGCAATAAACAGCCAGAACCTCAAACGGGTCGTTGTGACCTCGTCCTGCGCCTCTGTTCTCGAAGTCGGAGTCGACAAGGTTTTCTCTGAGCTTGATTGGAACGAACTCGCTATCAGGGAGATCAAAGAGCAGGGCGACAGCGCTCCCGGGCCCTCTAAATATCGCGCGTCCAAGACCCTCGCAGAGAAGGGTATGTTCTCCGCCCGACTTTTTTTTACCACTCAAGCTAAACTCGTGATCTTAGCTGCTTGGGAATTTTACGAGAAGAACAAATCCGACATTAAGTGGGATCTTTCAGTTCTCAACCCTCCCTTTGTAGGTATATTTCATTCTCAATTTTTTACATCGATCTGACGTCTGTAATCAAGGTCTTCGGGGTATGGAATAACCTCCAACAGATAACCTCTTCATGACCTAATTCTGCGCACTACAGCCCGCCATTCACGACGTTAAAAGCACCGACGCACTCAACACCTCTGCCCGCCAGTGGTACGAGACTGTCCTTGTCGACGGCAAGTCCAAGGACTTCCTCACGGTCCAAGGATCTGCTTATATCGACGTCCGTGACGTCGCTGAGTCGCACGTCCTTGCTTTGGAGAAGGAAGCCGCGGGCGGCGAGCGCATCATCATTTCTGCAGGCACGTTTTACCTTCCGGGTTTCTTGAACAACGACGCTCAACTAGTTGCGATTTTTCAGGTTCTTACGTCTGGCAGGACTGGGGTAAGCCCATCTAAACCCGTCACTCACGTGTGTTTACCTTTTTTTCAGTTAACGCTGCGAACGCGTTGTCCCCGTCTCCCATTCCGTCGCATACCCCGCTCCCTGTCGGCTACCCCGACGTCGCCACAAAGGACCCCGTCAAGTATGATACGACGAAAGGGGCAAGGATCCTGGGCCTGAAATACCGCACCAAGGAGGAGCTGACGCGTGATACCCTTGCTGACTTTGAGAAACGTGGATGGTGAACGGTGTATATGGAGCGATTTGGGAGAAAATCACTTGTACTGTTGTTGTTGTAAATGAATGAGGATTCTGGCGAAGTTTTTCTCCAGTCGGCCCCTGGGGCGGCATCTAGCAGCATCTAGTTCATCAGGTCGTTCTACTTTTTCATAAAATGATTACTGAGCCGCGAGTAGATTATGCGGCGAGACCATAAGGCTGTGCAAGTTTGCTACAGTGCCGCATGCTGGGGAACATCACCGGATTTGGAAGTACAATAACCATTTTAGGTGTTTCCCGGGTCTCACGAGCTGGCGCAGTGCCATTGGAGGACACAACCGGATTTGGAAGTACACGAACAAGGGTTTCAGGCCAAGCTGGGCATTTCGGCATTTAAGCTGCTAGGGGAACCACTGTTCAACTGATCGTAACGTAAGCCCATGCGCCACATTCATTTGCAGAAGCGTCCCATGCACTGTCACCGTTTCCAGCGGACTCCTCTCAAAGGTTCAGAATCAAAACTCGCGCGAATCGCGAGTATGCTAATAGTATGACGAACGGAACCTTGAAATCTGGGCCATAAGTCGAATCCTCAGACGGCCGTCGCTGCATCGATCCTTGATCCATTCTTTGAGGCATGCATTTCTGATCTTGGATGTTGCTCTGTCATTATACCTTGGATTTGCGAAGCACGTTGTGTAGACGTGACACAGGATAACGGTCAACCGCTGCTGTCGAGTCCGCTTTTAGAGCGCCATCAATATCCTTCCACTGGCGCCACATTATTACTGTCCCCCTCTTGGAAATGGCTATTGCCTGGTCTCAGGGGAAGCCTTCTGAGCTATTTCTGTCGATTTATCTGATGAAAGCTGGCGTCTTTTTGTCCTCAGATGTTTGTTTGAATTTATACTTGCCCCGCCTCAAACGGCTGGATTGTTGGAGGTATCTCATGTAACTACACCGAGTAATGAAATTTCCGGCCCTTCCATGAATATTGCGGCTGTGTAATAAGGTTTACAGGGCTCGCTAGCCATCAAAAACGTTGTGGCGTGTTATCTCTGACTTTCGCGGTCTCCTCCACTCTCCCTTGGCATTTCTATAGTTTGTCGTCTATCTCTACTCCGGAGTCCAACGCATGGCCTTATGGTCTAGTAGCATGATTCCTCGTTTGGGCTTTGCCGCCAGGCAAAAACAATTCGAGGAGGTCCTGGGTTCAACTCCCAGTGAGGCCCTTTTTGGCTTCTTCTTATTCAAGCCAAATAATCATGATCACCCGAAAACCGATCCCAAGACCCGGATATGTTATATTTGCCCCAGAGAATTCTTCCGTCCCCTGAAACGACTCGTACCGAAGCTCGTTTCTGTCTTATCGCCAGACCTCCCAAGTAGTGGCACACAAACGATGCATTGAAGGAGTCCAAGCTCGATAGTGTCCTACCGTGAAAAGCGGAACGGTGTGTAGCAAAAGAGAGAGTCAAGAAGTGAGGGTGGGAAAAACAGAATGGCAATGAGAGAAATCAACAAGTCAGAAACAGGAGAAACAAGATAACCCTCACGTATGCGAGTAAGAAAGCAACGTAAGGAGGTATAGGAGGAGTGTAGATGCGAGACCGATGGACGAAAGAGACCTGAGAATGAGAGAGCAGCAATTTATTTGGACTTACTTCACGTTGCGCATATCGGTTAACAGTCAAACAAGAAATCCTCACGATTGATCGATCTCCTATTAACAAGGGACATTCTGAATGGGTGAGCCCATCATTACACGGAACAGCAGTACACAGAAACATTGGTTGTGGCCTGTGTATCGGAATGCGGGATAGTTCGTTCCTTTACAGAGTCTCCTGAATACGAAAGTGGAGGGAGAACATACGTCCTGAAAGACGGGACTGGGGGTATCTACATGTTGATGCGTAACAGAGTCAGCATCGTCTACCAGACCGGTGACAATCGAAAAGTCTTCTTAATTATGACATCCAGCAGATGCGCAAAGGTCGCCCTTGGTCTGTTTGTCGAGTGCGATATAACTATAGGGGACCCAACAGCTACATCGGAAGGGGGGACGTAGACTGGGCAACGGGCAAAGCACAAAGCAGGCAGGAGCATTGACACTTGGTGGTGAGAAACATGGTTTGTTCCGGTGAGCTCGTCACCAGCTCCGACGATTCATGTATCCCAGCATGGTATGGCGTCAAGGAGCTTGTCCAAGCAGAAAATCGTACAGAGTTGGGTGGAGTTGATGCTGAAGAGGTAATCCGATTCCGTATGTCCGATCACAGAAATGATTTTATTTATTTATTTTGCAGGTACACCTCAAGTCGACGTCCCCAACCCACTAAAACCACGGCATGGCTCCATCTCACCGGGACTTTGCCTCCAGCGACTCTGAAGAAGACGCGCCCGAAACTGTTTCGCTCGCCCAGTCAAAGAAAACAGTCAAAAAACACGACAATGCTGTGAAGCAGATCCACGCCGCGGAAAGGGAGAAGAAGAAGCTACGAAACAAGGAGCGAGATCGCAGGCTAAAGGAGCAGGCGCAGGGAAGCAAGAAGAGAAGAAAGGATCCAGAGGATGGCGATGCAGATCTAGAGGCGAGAATGGAGAGGGCGATGCAGGATGCGGCAGCAGAACTGGCCGAGGGTAGTGATTCGGACGAGGAGGATGAATTCGGAGAAGACGAATTTATGGGTATAGATGCAGGGTCCGGAGAAAGTGATCAAGAGAAGAGCTTAGGGGACGAAGAAGAAGACGGCGATGACGACGACGGAATGGACACCGACGAGGATCCTTCAGAACCTCCACCGAAGTCAAAAAACCCGAACCATCTTCCCGACCACCTCTTCGCGTCCGCATTCGCCACAACCTCCAAAACCGCAAAAGCCGCGTCAAAACGCAAGGCGACAGACGATGCACCGGCGCGGAAGTCCAGAAAGCGCGTGCGCAGCAACGCTCCACCGAAGGATGTTTTAATTGGGTGCGTGTTTTCCACCACCACCTTTTTTGCGCCGTACTGACCATGCGGCGGTTTACCCGGAACAAAATACAATATCTACACCCAGCCTCAAACTCCATCACTTGCGAAGGACATGTGGTTCCACTCCCTGCGAGTTGATGAGCGCCTTCCAGAGCTGCCGCCACGATATAGGGCTCCCCTTCCCAGACCAAAGGTCAAGATGGATCAAGATTTGCAAAAACCGAATCAGACACGTACCACATCCCTCTGCATTACACAGTAACTCCCCACACTTCCTCTGTACGTGAACTTCTCGACCTCCACCCATCCTTTGAACATTATCTTGCGCGCGTCGTAGCCACCGATTCGGAGACGAAGTGGGCCATCTTGGCCCTCGACAGACGGTGCAATCTTACATCGCACATTGAGAGCTTCGAGGCTCTCCTGGATAAGCGGCATCAACAAGGTGTGTCCCAGTGAGCCGTAGAAGCGCGTCAGGTGGGGAGTGTATCGGCTCCCGGATTGCGTTTGCGACTGACAGATAGGTGAGTCGATGACCGTTTATGCATGTATGGCTCGTATGTTCACTCACGAAAAGCATCAAAGATTGCGTGAATTGGGAGACTTGCGGCGCACTCGCCATCACCTCGTCCTCATCTTCGTCTTGGACGACGTGCCTGGATTTCTGAGTTTCAGCGTCTTACATCCTTGCATACCATGATAACGGGCTCTTACGTACCCGGTCAAATTAGGCGCCGCGAGATCGAAATCCCCGTTGGCGCGCAATTGTTCTGTCAATTGTTCGGCGAGCATCATAGGGCCTTGACTGGCGAGCTGGCTGGGCCTGGAAGAATGGAGTCATGGTGTCAGCGCGAGCAACCTTAGGTAAGTAAGCATCCACCGCACCGCATGCACCACGGGTGCTGGAAGGCGTCTGCGAGTGTCAAACGGTCCCGGGGATCTACGGTCAGTAGACCGCAGACGAGCGCTGAAGAAATGATCAGTCGCATTAGACAGAAAGAACGCGGAGAAGGTTTGATATACATAGCGCGTCTGGGCTGAAGCGGCTCCATGGTCGTTCATCGAAGATGGCGCCTGACAAATAGCGGCTGAATTCGGGACTGTGTTTCGTTGGTTCGTCCCATGGTGTGTCTTATCGGTATGGATCAGTATGTCCAAGCCATTGCAAGCACGAGTAATCCAGGCTTACTTCCGGCTAGCAAGGCGTACAGGATTACCCCGATACCCCAGACATCAATGGGTTCTGCGTCGTATGGTTCGTCTGAGTTCAGCTAGCAGGCGCTTGGCCATGAGACGCGTTGAGGAGTGCATGGGGAGTAGATACCTCGGGTGCAACGTACGGCAAGCTTCCACAGCGTTCAGTAAGGGGACGCGTGCGTCCAGTTTCTTTGAGCTTATATACAGCGGAAAGACCAAAGTCAGATATCTTGAGATGGCCCGCAGCGTCAAGGAGGATATTCTCTGGCTTCATGTCGCGGTGGCATACACCTTGAGAGTGAATATAATCCTGTTGCACAATGAGATTCCCCCAAAGGAGATGAGAGAAAGTCCTGTGCACACCATTCCAGAAAGTAGCTGGTTGAAGTAGAGGTGCGCAACATCGTCCTTGACGCCAACGTCAGGTACTAGGGGACCCCGAGTCCTGAATTAGAAAGCCGACAGAGACTAAGTAGTAGCCAAGTACCCACCGATCTTGTCGAATAGGTCTCCTCCACCAGCAAGCTCCATCAGCATGTAAATCCCTGGCGTGTAGAGATGTTGGTGTTTGAGTTCAACGACGACGGCGTTGAGGAACTCGAGCACGTGTTCATGTTTCAAAGCAGAGTGGATCCGCATTTCTTTTTCAATGGTCTTACGCTGAGAATCTGCGGATTTGTCGTTGAAGGCGACGACTTTGCATGCGGCCACTCGATGGTCCTCAAAGTTCACTGCCCTGAAAACGCTGTCAAAATTCGTCAGAATACGGGAACAGCTTAGTAAGAAGAATAGACGCAGATGTCCAAAGTGGATTTTTGAAGTCGGAGCCAGTGACGTTTCGGTTCGCCTGCTTACCTGGAGAAGCCACCGCCGCCGATCTGTTTAACAAGGGTAAAGCCTGACAACAACATGCATCAGGATCAAGCAGATGTATTGGTCTAAAATGGTATGGACCTACCAACAACTTTCGGATATTTGGGGCTGCTCATTTTCCAGCGCGAGTGACAAGATGGTGGAGGTAGTGGTTGGTGTTTGAAAGAAACCTGTCACGTTGATTTCGACGCGTCGCGGTCACCGGCGTCTCATCACATGACAGTGTGACCATCATTTGTCGCGTCGCGTTGACGTCATCGCAGGTAGGAAGGACAAGTGTCTGCGCGTCCCTTGACCTCTTACCACCACCTCTAGATCTGTAGACGTGCAAGCTCTAGCTGTGCCTCCTCTACTGGGTCCTCTCGTTCCACCTGAGAGGGTACCAAGTATGCTGCAAGCAGTGCATTCATCAAGCATTCATGAAACTACGCTCCAGTACTTATTGGCTCCTGCTCTCTGGTCAGACACACCATCTACGTTCTATGCATTGTGACCTAGGCTTCACGGTGTGTGAACAAGAATAGTTTGCTATCCTGAGGTTATCGGGGCGAGGGGACGAGGTGTGTTGTTGAACATCCATGTCTGCAGCCTAATAACATAGATTCAAAACGCGACTTTCGGGATAGGTTTGGGATTGTTCTCACTGCTCTTGGCGGCGTTTACTGGACAATATCACCCATCCATCTGATCTGACCGCCTTTTCTCGCCGCATATATCCTGGGGTCTGCCACTGCTAGCGTATATGCGGTCAGCCTGACGCGACGATCGGGAGTTTGTGGCTTTCTTCTCTTCCTGGACTGTCTTGTAGACGGATCAACATCTTTGTCCACCTCATGGCATCGATCTAGGACTTCATCTGACTGCCTTAATACTTGCTACTCAGCCACCACTGACATCTCCTGTGGTTGAATATTGTCTGTGTGCTGGGAGTCGGCTTATTTCGACTCGGATATCTTTGCGGCATATACTCTGTCAACATCCTCTGTATGTGAGCCAAGGTATGTATATGCTCGCCCGTAGTTCATTTGCAGCTCTGGCAGCCCTCTACTCAGCGCGATGAGTATAGAACTGCCAGGTATGCAATCATCTCCGGCTTCCACGATCACTCTGCCACCCTCGCGACTACCCAGTAGCATTACTCTGGGAAATGATGCTGTCATAAAGTAATTAATGCTCCGGGATAAATGT